AAATCCTCAGAAAGATTGATCGATACTTCACACTGGAACGGACATACGATTACACTCCCGAGGACGTTTACGTAACGTTGATCAAACTCCAGAAAGAACTTGGTTTTAACCAAACCAAATGGGATCAGAAGTATATCATTCGGGAAGAAATGAATGTACTACGAGAGGATGAGGCTTATCGGCTTATTGCGGATGACATAGTTGAGAATGCAATTATGGATGGCAAGAATCTTGGATAGTGCTGGGAATATCAGGCTGAGTCGAATGTTACCTTGGACATTTCTTGCCACCGATGTAGCTATGTTTTACCAAATTTCTTATCTTGAAACCACAAAGACCTTGTTTTTTTTCAAAAGTGCAACGCTAGCTATGGTGATTGAAGCAAGAGGGTGTGCAGCGTTCTAGGAATAGTGGCTTGGTGGGCTCACTAGACTGCGCAAACCTTGCTAGTACGATGGATACTTGCATCTAGTTTGCGGCAATCCCCTGCAGTGGTTGTTGGAAGCAGTGTTGGTCAGTAAGCCTGTTCGTAGTTGCCCGGGGGTGGCGGCGGCGAGGTGCGTGGCCTTCGCCGCCGGACGACATCTCCGCTAAAGCTTCTGCATGCCAAGTCACAGAGAGTTACGGGCCGTTCAGTGTCGCACGGTCTGTCGATAGACCTGCAACTTTTAACAGCAAGGATGGGGAAAAGGGGGGAATGTGGAGGGGAGCCAGCCACATTCTAGGCGACCTAGCGTTCCGACGTGCGTCTGATGATGAAGCTATGACAGTATTGATTCAAAGCGATTTGACAGGTCGGTCAACGTACTTTGCTTGGTCATGCAGCGCAGTACTGACCAATGAGTCCTTACGAAGAACGCTATGCCCTGATAGGCGGCAGGTCACATGCGCAGTGTGCACAACAGGTCCTTGTGCAGGCCTCATTTGCGTATAAGTGCCCTAGATGTCCTAGAGTTTTACAACTTATATTTCCGCGACCATGGAAATCACACGCAGAACCTTCGCCGATGCTATCTTCGAGTTCCTTAGATATGGCCCACTGCGCGACACTCTCGCTCCAGGTGACAGAGCCAACACCACTTTGTTCTGGGTATTGAACCGTAGCGTTGATGGAAAACCACCCATAGAGAAGCGAGCCTTGAAATCTGAGGACGAACTCCCAAAGGTTATACAGCGAATGAGTTACGTGCTTGAGAGAATCTGTGTATAGTACAACTCGATCCTAAATCATTACAACGCTGACATGGCGCAGAACACATTCAGTACCCCATGGTTGACCGAAGGTGATTTCCACAAGTTGTTCATAGATGACATCAAACCCATCTACAATGACTGCAGGGTGCGGCCCTCTTACTTCCCCACAATACAAAAACTTGTGAATGCAGGATACGCCTTTTTAGATCTTTTGCCTTATCTAAAGGATACCCTCTCCATCGGGGGCTATGTGTGGAACGAAGACATAAGGATGGCCCAGTAAGATACAACTACATGATTAATTACATGCCCTAACAATACCAGCCTTAACAAAATGTGGGATGAGGGAAAGGGGGAGGTCAATGCTAGAGCCCATCCTATAGCCTGTCAATCACGGATGGAATACCAAAGTCCATATCAGACAACTCACCCGATCGAACAAACGTATCCGACCAATGTTTCATACAAAAGCGGACCATGCGAGACTAGCTCCTCAGAACAAGTTGGGATAGTACCGCAAGGTGGACATGCACTGCAGTTTGAAGCACACCAGGCCTAGGAGTTTTACAATGTTATTGCACACGCGCCTATGTATTATTAGTTAGTGAACACCCCTTCTACCTTCCAAAGTACCATAAAATCATGGTTCCTAGTGAAGAAATGTGATGCTACCAGCCGTACCTGCACGATAAAATCCGCTGGTTCTTGATATCTTGTTAATGAACCCCACCGCTTTTGAAACTAAGTGCGTTAGTAATGATAGGAGTTGCGGCAGAGTCTATGCATTGTAATTAATGCTACTTCAAATATGCGAGTTGGTGAAAACATTCGCTAAAATTATGAGGCGAGAATAGAATAAGTATTGAGATCTCAGATTGTAACTCTTCTACGTTCTCCATAAATCTGGCTATGATGTGCTACTACTAAGACTACATGTATAATTTGCTCATGTAAGATGAAGCGACTTTTCTATGTTTGTTATAGGCGTTTAAAATAGTAGGAAATGTTCTTTTAAGGAAGGGCAATGCCATGTGCTGTATTGAAATGGTCCCGCAAGCTCTTTTTGCTGTACTGCTGACTTTTACACGAGTAATGAGGGCATCCTCTAACACCCTTATCAAACTGGCTATTAATATGCTCTTCGATGTGCTCGAAATAGTGGCCCGCATTTTCCATCTGGACAAAATTGCCCTCTGCTATGCAGTATGGACACCGACGAGGCGCTGCAAGAATACCCTCAGAGGTTATAGGACCATAGATGATGTTTGGACTTCTCGTGTGCTGTTTGCAGTGTTTGTCCCAGTCTAAATCACTGGAAATCCAAATTCCACACTCAATGCAGAATCTGGCCCGTGTCGGTATTGTCATATGGGTATAGACGCCAT